ACACACACACACACACGCACACGTACCCAGAGTTAAAAATAAGAAAAGTTAAACAAGAAAAGCTGCTTTAACATGTGTAAAGATGCTTTGGTCATTTAGATGAGGACTGCCCCCCACAGGCCCAGACAGTTGAACACTTGGTCCCCAGCTGATGGCACTATTTGCAGAGGCAATGGGATTTTAGAAGGGGAGGCCTGCTGAGGAAGCACATCATTAGGAGTGGACTTTCAGAGTTTATAGCCTTGCCCCACTTCCGGTTCTCTTCCCTCTCTCTGCTTCGTGCTTACAGTTGGAAATGGGATCACTCCGCTTCCTGCTCCATCTACCAGCTGTCATGCTTCTCCTGCCACTATAGACTCCCATCTGGACCAGAGTCAAAATAAACTCTTTTTCACATCACCTGTGGTCATGGTATTTTGTCACAGCAACAGAAAATAACTAATATAGGTGCCTTCCAAAGCTGGCCCAAGCATGCACAGAAAGTGCTCTGTGCCTTGTTTGTCAAAGGGCTGTGCCCTGGAGCCAGGAAGGTAATGCAGCGACCTACGCTGTAAGGATGATGTTTCTCAACTCAACTAAGCTTCCAAGTGTGGCTTTCTGACATTGTAACTCCCTGTTCCTGAAGTCTTTCTAAAACAGAGCTGAGAACCATTTCTTCTCTGCTGGTGCCCGCTCTCGGCAGACTCACACTATAGGGAAAGGTCTTAAACCTACACACTTCTCCCCTTTGCTGTTTTAACTGGCCTGGGCCTTGGTGTGCTCTCTTCTTTTCCAAGCAAACAGTGATAGTTAGGGCCAAGTTCTATCTATTTAGGATGTACATTTTGTACTTTGTTTCAACAAAAAGTCTTACCTTTAAAATGCAGATTTAGGATCGCCTGGCTATACAGATAATTTGGGGCGAAAAATGTAATGAAAAGACTGATATAAGACCATGATAAGCCAGCAAGCGGCAAACCCTGAATGAAAGTGGTGAGATTTTATCTGTATTTAGTATATGAATGCACACATGTGTATCTTAAGTGCACATGTAAACTTCTATCTATACATGTGTTTGTAGGTTATGTACTTGTTACCTCATTGATATGGAAAAAAGGGAACTTAATAAAGTTAACCTAAACACTTTTCTCTTCTTTACATTTACTTACTTATTATACATGGACACACACACACACACCCCACGTGTGGAGGTCAGAGGACAGTGTGGTGATATTTTGTGTATGCTCTAACAAATAAAGCTTGCCTGAAGATCAGAGTGCAAACCCAGCCACTGGGTAGCCACAGAGGCCAGAACTCGGGAGGCAGAGGCAGACAGATCTCTGTGAGTTCATAAGATTGATCAGAAACAGAACTAGGCAGTGGTGGCACACACCTTTGATCCCAGCACTTGGGATCTCATGTCTTTAATCCCACCACTAGGGAGGTGGAGACAGGAAGTTATATGGCTGGGTGGAGACAGGAAGTGATATGGCTGGGTGGAGAGAACAGGAGCTGGGGTCCTTTTCGGCTGAGGATTGTGCAGAGGTAAGAACTAGTGGCTGGCTGCTCTGCTTCTCTGATCTTTCAGCTTTCACCCTGATATCTGACTCTGGGTTTTTATTAATAAGACCAACTAGATTTTTTTTGTGCTACAAGACAACTTGCAAAATCTGCCATTTGGGTCCAGGATTGAACTCAGGTTGTTAAGCTTGCCAAGGAACAACTTTAGTCCATCTTGCCAGTCCCTAAATCCTTCCTAAATCTTAGTAACTCTGAAAAATGGTAATGTGCAGGTTTATATAGCTTATTCATCTTTAAGTTCATGTTATGATAATTAAATGCCATGTGTGGCATACCTGCCTATGATCCTAGCACATGGAAGGTGGAGGAAGAGAACCAGGAGTTCAGGACGAACGAGTGCCTGTCTCAATACAACTATAGAAGCATCTATAACAGGTTAAGTCATTTTCATTTGAGGTCTGGGTCATTCCTAGATAAGTCAAAAATAACAAAACATCAGGATCATAGGTTAAAATTTTACATACTTCAACATTTTGCTTTTTTACTTTAAACAAGTTTAAATATACTGGGTCTGTTTCCACATTTGAGGGTGTTATGAAAACAGCACATACTTTATAGACTTTGTAAGTTGGTCTGTACAAGGTGCTGGCACAGGACTGCTAAGGGTTATGATTGAAACTCCAAGAGGAGAAACCACTGTCTGTGAGGAAACTGAGGTGTGTCTTATAAAGAACGTTACAAATATGGGGATATGTTTTTAGTAAAGTGCTCCAAGGGAGAGTATGTCCATTGTTACTCTGAGACAGGCGGGAGGGAGGGAGGGAAGGAGGGAGGGAGGGAGGGAAAGATGGACTCTCTTGGGTCAGCCCTTCCAAAAGTAACCAAAGCTGAGAGGTCACAAAGAACAGGGTCCTTCCTTTTAAATATTTATTTTATATGTACAGTTTTTAACCTTTATTTTTATTTTATGTGTATGGGTGTTCTAAGGGCATGTATGTTTGTTTGCCATGTGTGTGCAGTGCTTATGGATACCAGAAGGGGGTGTGCTGGATCCCCTGAGACTGCAGCTCTGGAGGGCTGTGAGCCACCATGTGGGTGTTAGGAATGTAAACAGGTCCTCTGGAAGAGCAACCAGTGCTCTTAATCACCGGGTCATCTCTCCAGCCTGTTATGAGGATGGAAGTGTATCATGTGTGTAGAATGCGCCCAGGGGTGAGGAGAGGATGCTGAGGCCTGGGAACTGGAGTTAGAAACTGATGAGAGCCACCAGACAGGCACTGGTTCTCAGCAGAGCAAAAAGGCAACAAGTTTGTCGATGACTGAGCCGTGTTCCTAGTTCCCGAGGTGACCTCACTGGGTGCCTTCTGACCTCCGTTTCTACACGTGCTTTGTTATTTCTTCCAGGCACAGACATACTTCAGGATTTTCTCATCAGTCCGTCAAGAGATGGCAGAGCATCCAAAGCCCTCAAGAAGGAGGAATGGACAAGAAGAAAACTTTCTCCAGGGCACCCCACTGTGGCTGCATCCCGCTGAGCTCCTGGCCTGGCTCCAGAGAGCAGCACCCAGCCCTAATCCTTCTTGTCTAACCACACCTCTTGTTTCTCTTATCGCCCTATGTGAATCTTGTCTGAGAGTCAAGGATCACAGAGTCCCCCAAGGATCAAAGGCCTATGCAAAACTTGGTTCAGAAAACCAGAAAACCCTGGTACCTGAGAAATCAAGTAATTCGCACTTGGCATTTTATCTCTGGGAGCTCCTTTTAGGTTGCTTTGAAGGTACAGAAATTAACTGGCTAAACTGTAAATAGAGTAAATGAAAATGCCCTAGGTGAAGGCAGAGTGCTTCAGTCCTTCCAGGCTGGAGCTGCCAAAGGCTAAATTCACTCTTAAGGTGCCTCTGAGTCTTTTTTCCATGGAGCCGAGACCACCCCATTCAGCTGTGAGGATAACCCAGTACCCTGACAGCACCTTATCTCATAGCCAACCTGTCACCTGTGTCCCAGCCTTGGATTTCTCTTCTCTATAACCTCTGAATCCTTCTCTGCCCAGTTCTTGCCCAAACTCTAAATAAGCCCATCTCTGTGTACCAATTCCTATCTCCCAGTGGACCTCAGACTGAGGAGCAGCCTAGTGAACGAAGACTCAAGAGATCTGTGCTCTCTCACTCAGTCCTGATTACGGAAGTTTTCTCCATCTTGAAAGAGCTAAGCTTTTGTTAAAACTTATTTTCTTTAAGACTTTTAAAAAATTAGTTATTATTGTTTGGGGTGCATGCATGTCACAGCACACATGTAAAGGTCAGGGGACAACTGTGTGAAGTTAGCTCTCTTTGTCCACTTCTATGTGGACTCCATGCATCAAATGAAGGTCGCTAAGCACCTTTACCTTTTGAGCCATCTCACTGGCCCCCTTTTAAAATTTTTTTATTGTGACTTTGATTGGTAACACTTATCAAGCATTTTAAACTCCTTTATCTTTTTAACAAATATCTCCAAATCAAATTCTTAAAAACTCTGAGATTTCTAGAAGGCACCTGAACATTCGAGAGACTTGTATTTGTATAAATGTATTATTAGTATATGTTCCAAAATGGTATGAGATTTCTAGAATCAGATACATCTTGTAAGTTTTCAGTCATAATTGTAATGATCATTTTGATTTCTTAAGAAACCCTTAAAAAATCCAGTATCTCACTATATATCCCAGACTGACCTCAAACTTGCAATCCACCTGCCCCCAGTGCTAGGATTAAAGGCATGTGTCATCAAGCCTGGCTGCACATCTGCCATAATATAACATCTAAAATGAACCCACACAAGTGGGGATTTACCTGTGTGGTCCCAAATTACGGAAAGCAGTTCTACTACCAAACTTGGGCAGTTAAGGGGACCGCGAGAGAAGTCCTGCCTCACATATACCTATCTATGCAGCCCTCCACTTATCTGCCAGTCACTTTCACAAGATTACCATCTAAAACACAACCCACGGGCTGAGAGACGGCTTAGCCGGTAACAGCACTTTCTGGTCTCCCAGAGGACCCCCAGTTCGGTTCTGGCACACATACTGGGTGTCTCATAACTACCTGCAACTACAGCTCCAGGGATCTGAAGCCCTCTTCTGGCCCCCATGAGCACTGCACTCATGTGGCTTACATTCGCATAGAAGCACACACATGCACATAAAATAAAAAATTAAAATAAAAACACAATCAGAGTTCCTGGTATCCCTAGGCATGGTGGTGCATGCCTTTAACCCTAGCACTCAGGAGGCAGAGGCAGGAGTTCCAGGCTAGTTTGGTTTACAGAGTAAATTCCAGGCCAGCCAGGACTACATAGTGACACCCTACCTAAAAAAGGAAAGGAATAACTCAAACCCCCAGGACCCTCACGCCCCACAAACACCAAAAAGATGAATCTTTCCTAACTCTGGGATGAAGTGGGACCTGTGCCCCCGGGGCCGTTTCTACCACCTTCCCCTCAGAGCTTATCTCCCGGCCTACCTTCCTTTTCCAAGGAGGGAAAGGCCGAGATCAGTCAGAGAGGCTTTCGGAGAAGAGCGGTCTGGCTTTCTGGATCTGCTCCAGTCGATTCAAGATGAACTGGCTCGTGTCGATGAAGCGCTCGACGCAGTTCACCAGGCAGACCTCGGCCCGGCCGTCCAGCTTGGGCCCGGGCTTGTCCATGCACTTCTCCCAGCACAGCTCCGTCATGTGGTGGACCAGCAGCTGCACCCGCTGTTTCTGCGTCTCCACCTCCACGAAACGCTGCAGCTGCGGGTCTGCGGCGTCCACGGGGCTCACCGGGGAAGACCAGCTGGCCTCCATGCCAACGAGCCGCACGGGCGGAAGTGCCCCGGCTAGGAACAGGAACCGGAAGTGCCATGGCTGCCCCAGGACTACCAGCTTTGTGACCCTATCCCACAGGCCGCGCCGTCTGCCTCAGCGACTCTAAGACTCTGAAGTGTTAACACTATTAGACCCTGTGAGGCTTTCCAAATCTTTTAACGATCAAGCTGATGGTTTTATGAAATGCCCGTCAAGATCAAGGAAGATGAAGAGGACGATGATCGAATCGACAGAAGATGTGTTTTCGTGACATGTGGTTTATCCTAAACCTGCTGGCTTAAATTCTCGAAGATAAAATTCGACTGGAGTTAGAATTGCAAAGAAAGAAAAGCCCTACAGAGGGGCTCTTAGTTCTAGCTGGACCTCATTTTACCAGGTCCTAACTGATGACAGTGTCTCCTCATTGTCCACCGCGGACCAGACTCATCATCCTCACCCCAGGCTCCCAGGCTCCCAGGCTCCAGCACAGCACAGGAGGACCGTCTGCAGGAGTAAGGAGCACTCTCACGCCAGGACTCTAGATGGCTCCTTGTCTGTTCTGTTTTTATGTGTCCCAACATTCCAAACTGGGGGCGGAACGAAAAGACATGGCCCCACCAATGGACACCGTGCACTCGTGTGTGATTCAGCCGCCTGCCCTCCTGTTGCCACCTGCCCCTCTGCTCCTGGCCTCTTCCTGTGGAACACGACCACTGGACCTTCAGCTCTTTAACCCAGGAAGATTTGGGTCAAAAATGAGAAATTAAAAAAAGGATTGAAATGTCACTAGAGGGCCGGGGAGATGGTTCAGAGCTTAAGATGGTTCAAGAGTCTGCTGCCCTTGAAGAAGACTGAAGTAGTTCCCAGACCCTCATGGCAGCTCACAACCACCTGTAACTCCGGTTCCAGGGGATTAGACACCGTCTGTGAGCTCTGTCGGCACCAGGCATGCAGGTGGTCGCAAACATACATTCAAGCAAACACCGTTTTTGTTTGTTTGTTTTTGGGACAGGGCTTCTCTGTGTAGTTTTGGTGCCTGTCCTGGGTCTCACTCAGTAGACCAGGCTGGCCTCGAACTCACAGAGATCCGCCTGCCTCTGCCTCCTGAGTGCTGGGATTAAAGGCGTGCGCCACCACCGCCTGGCTTTTTTTTTTTTTTTTTTTTTAAGAAAATGTCACAAGAATGAGGTCATAAAGTTTTCAATCTGGAGGAAATACAAGACAAGAGACCCCAGTTGGACAGGTTTTTGGAGACTTTGATGCCATAAAGGTAGGAAATGCTCTCACCCACACCCTTTTTACTGTTGGCTGGAGTGTCCGTGACGGCCAATGAAACTCAGGCTTTTACTACCAGCACAGCTGCCCCGTTCCCCTTCTCGTTCCTCTTAAATGTAATGTTTTATTTTATTTCAGAAACTCGATGGATCACAGTCCAGCCCTGAACTTGATAGGCAGCCTAGGCTGCTACCAAATTCTTAACCCTCCACTTCTGCCCCATAGAGTTCGGGGTTACAGCTGAATGCCATCACACTTGCCAGGGATCAAGAAATCCGAGTCTTTATTTTTTCCTGCAGTGCTGGTGACTGAATCCAGGGCTTGTCATGCACAAGCCCCCTGTCACTGAGCCACGTGCCCAGCTCTTCCCGGTGGAAATCTGTAACGCTGTGAAACCCAGACCCTTTGGGTACCATTTTGGAACACTTGCTCTGGGCAATTAGAATTCATGTTTTCTTCCTGGGTGGCTCTCCTCATTTTGGCTGGAATAAGTATTTTGTTCTCTCCCTTTGGTGTGCCTTGCCTGGCCTTTTCAGGTTGCTGCTTATGGATCTGCATGGACACCGGCATTTAGCAATCACATTCGTACACGTGAGCTCACGGTGCGTACCTGACTCCCACTGGCTACTCAGGAAATGCTTACTGAGTGAATAATTGATGTACAGAGTATGAGGGGGCATTCCATAATAGCTTGCCTTTCTTGGGCTTCTTAGTTGGTACCATTTAACAAGGGGACTCTGTCTTGAGGACATGAAGGACATTACTTAGTGAGGCTTATGATCAGTGTGTCAGTCATTTATCTCTAAATATTGTTTTGCCTCTTCCTTATGTGGGCAGTAGGGAAGGAAATTTGTGGCAAAATAGGAATTTTTAAAATCTAACTTATCTTTGACAGACCTGGAATTTGGGAAGCATCATTTAGGGACCCAATTTAAATATGGGAAAAATTGGGCGTAATGGTCTCTGTCAGCAGGAGGCAAGTTTGGGGTGTGTTGACACATACTCTGGCCTGTGGGAAACCAGAGCATGTGGGAAGCTGTGCCAAGTCACAGGGAGCCACAGACATGCTATTCCACCCAGGGAGCAGAGCTGGCTGCTGAAAGCATTGGGCTTCATTTAGGTTTCAGAGCCAGCCTCTGGAGAAACAGAACAGCCACATTTCAGGGCAGCGGTCTCATAACTGAGGCACAGTTTTAATCAATGGTTTCATGAAGTCCTCGTTTATTAGCCACTGGTATAGTAGGGAAAACTATTTTCTGTGAAATAGAAAGAAGAAAACAGTGGTGGCCAGAGGGCAGCCCAGCCTCTTGCTTTTCCCTGCTGGTGAAGGGCAATTTAATTTGCAAGAGAAGGCCAGTTGGCCCCATGAACTCCAGCTCTTGGAGTAATGCCTATCTGGATTGCAAATGTGTCTTTCCAGCTCCATTAAGGCGCCTTGCCCAAACCACACAACCCAGGGAGTCTGGAGCCAGGGCCACCTCCCTCTACTTTTCTCCTAAAAGCTGAGCATATGTGAGTCCCCAGACAACCCTTCACGCTTTACCTGGCTCATTGCTCCCAGTGAGACAGAACAGTGACTGCTCTTGAATTTCCTGAGGCTGATGGCTCCGTTGTTACATACGTGGTCTGAATCTCAGCCTGTGGGGGACAGAGAAATGGAGCTGAGATGAAACAGGCCTCCTGGGGGCAACTTTCCTCCCCACCCTCCCTGTCACAGCCAAGCAGCATCCTGTGGCAGGGACATTACCGTGGCTGATACCTGGCTTTGTGTTTGTTTTGTTTTAGCAGGAGTGTAAAGGGAGGAAGCTGGAGAGTCTAGTACCACGAACAGGTTCATTTTCTACAGACAAGCAAGTGCACACGGGCACTCCTCCATGTTTCCCAGATAGGAGAGCGGCAGGCTGTTCAACAGGCCTTTGCTGACATCTTTGTGTGTCGATGCCTTAGTGAGCCAGGTAGGTGAGCAGGGCCTCCTTGGGTACCTGAGAGGCCTTTGATCCCATGCAGACGCCCTCCCATCACCCTGGTTCTTGGTTCCAGCCTTTCCTGCTTCTATGGCAGTGCTTTCCTGACCTTACCCTGCTCATAGATCACGTCACTCCCGCTGGAAGACAGACCAGAGTCACCTCCTACCATTGAGCAAAACCTGCTGATAGATCCAAATGGCTGTCTGGATTGTGTTTGGAGGAGACACTTCAGAGGAATTCTGGAAGCCCTTTCGATAGTTCTTCCCACATGTGAACTATTCCTTACCCTTTCCAGTCATACCTCTTTGGGTCTGAAGACAGGTACTTTTTGTAGGAAGGAAGTGACAAGAGAGTAACTTCATAGTAAGGCCTCAAAGAGCAGTATTTCCCAAGAGCAGAAGGGTATGCAGGGAGGGTGGAATATTTTGTACTACTGAAGAAAGAACCACGAGATGAGGTGCACACAAAGGCTAAGGAGCAAACCTTTGGCAGGTGTGGGACAAGAGCTTACAGCATGCCCGTCTGATGGCTAGCCCTGGAACTTGTCATTTAATTCTCTCTTTTCAGAGGATCGCACCGACATCAAGAAGCAAAAGAGCAACAGACCCCAGCTGAGAGTTAGGTGGCCCCAGTATGAGGCCTAAGGTCCCACGAGCTTGGGGGTTTAGTGGTTCCCGCTGTGACTGTTCAACCCATGCCAACCTCCCTCGACCCACAGCTGTCGTGACAGCTCCACCCACTCCTCCTTGGGTGTGACTTTCCTGTGGCTTCCAGCAGGGCAGAGCATCCTAAGCAACTGTTTGACGCCAAATACTAGGGGAAGAGAAAGCCTAGGACCGCTCTGGGCTCAGTCTGTTGGAGAAACAGAATACGTGAGTCCAGTGAGTTCCTGTCCAGGGCCCAACAAGCAAGGAGGGACAGGGGTTCTAAGTTCTGCAGAAGTGGGAGGCTTCAGAGGAGGGGCTGTGTGACAAGACCTCCAGGGAAGACTAGCCTGTGGTCAGTGGGAAGGGCAGAGGACATCAGGTGAGGAAGTAAACAGTGGCAGCGAGTGAACTCTGAGGGCCTCACAGTGCCGAGGCTAGGAGGTGACATGTCCTGAGTAGGAACCACAGAGAAACCAAAAGGAGGGACCACTGGAAGAGTCCAGGCACTTGAGCGGTGAGTGTCAACCAAATCAAGAAATGGAAGCAAATTATCCAATAGGCATCAGCTAGCGCTCTGTGTGTGCTTAGGTTGATTCTAGAAGGTGAACTGACTTACGGCTTAGACCCCGCTGGTCTGAACTCAGTGTGGTTTGAGAAGGAACTGTTCAGGGAAGGAAGGGTAGAGGAAGAAGATCCACCCTCCTGCCCACAGCTAGAAAACTCAGGGTAGACACTGGTACTTAGGGCATGTTCTGTAGGGGTTTCTCATTTTCACTGAGGACTCAAATCAGCCTGTATACCCATGGGATCCTGATGGGGGCCAGGTGGGTTGTGAGAGGGTCAGCAAATGCATGTGTGTTTATGGGTATGTAGCTGTGTGTGCAAGATTTTTAAACAAAGCCAGAGCTGAAGAGCAGGGTGGTAAAGGCAGGTCTCAGGCAGAACTGTTGTAATAAGAGAAGCGGGCTTGGCCGTCGGCTTCCTTCCGGTGTCAAAGACTGGACATAGTTGGCTCCTGCTGGGCAGGTGCTGCACCACTAGGCTGTGTGCCGTCAACACTGCTGCCGGTAGGCCTGGACTCCGCTTCAGTACACACAAGTGGAGGTCTGCTGGCCAACAGCAGGCGTGCAGGAGGGATTTACTGGGATCCAGGCATGGAGTCAGGAGTTCTGCTACTTCACCCTGGTAGGATTCCTGCTGAGGGTGGGTGAAGGCGCTCAGACATGGAAACAGGTGAGCAATTGGACCACACAGTGAGGATAACTGGACAGCACGAGTGGAGGGTCTCTCTACATGGGCTTGGTGGGTCTGTCTGGGGTACTGACATGAGACTTAAGCTCACATAGAAACTGAATTTGGGCAGGTGGGGAAAGAGCAATGCATAACTGAGCAGGCCGGGTCAAAGTGCGATCCTGCCCATCAGCATCTCAACTCTAACCCTACCAGTCCGCCTAGCTGGAGGGCGTCAGCCCCTTTCCTGTGGATGACCACTTCTGCTCCAGGATGCTTGCTGTTGTGGGTAACTGCCTTCATCTGGTGACGGATAGAGCTTGTCAGGGAGTCCCCACACTGTAGAAAGACAAATGTGTCCAATTACACTCTGACAGTCCACTCACCACGACGTGACTTAGCCCTGGGCCTTCAGCTCTGGAGGGATCTCGGGACTGGTTGGACAGCCCTCCTGCAGTGATTAGCGTGCCACCCTGCAGAGGTGGATCAAGAGCCTAGAGGAGATGGGTACACAACAAAGGCGGAGGAGCCAGGCTCCACGCCGCACCCTCAACTTAAGCGAGGAGTCATCGTTTTTTGTTTTTTTGCAAAAGCAGCTTCTGCCAGGCAGTGGTGGCACACGCCTTTAATCCCAGTACTTAGGGGCAGGCTGATATCTGAGTTTGAGGCTAGCTTGGTCTACATAGTGAGTTCCAGGACAGCCAGGGCTACACAGAGAAACCTGTCTGGGAAGAAAAAAGCAGCTTCCAAGAACCTATTTCAAGGTCACTAGACCCCCTTTTCTGTCCTCTTCCCCAGTGTGGCCTCCGTGAATAAATCACCTAGCTGTCTCTTTAAGTGAAGTGTTGGGATAGTTTTAAAAACTAGTTCCATCACATCCTTGCCCGTCATCTTGAAGCAGTTGCCAGGAGTCAGTGTAGCAGGCCTACGGCCCCTACAAGACTGTGGTGGCCTCTGACCATGGCTCCCCTAATGTTGGTCTCTCCTGCAGCTGCTACATGAAGTACTGTGAACTGGGTTGCCTAAGACATCAGACACTCTTCCTTATTTCTGGGGCTAGAAACCTGAAGTCAAGATATGGACTGTCTTCTAGCTGCCCATAGCTCTTTGGTCATCTTGGCCATTTATATTAATGTACCATCTCTGTTCCTGACACTATTTCACATGTGTTGGCACAGAGACCATTCACTCCAAAGGAATTGAGAGTTTATTCTGAGCCAAGGCTGAGTGGCATGGCCAGAGAATATGGGTTAAATTTGGCCCTAGTGACATGTTTCATTTTCTAAGTAGTTATTATGAGCTTTGATTGTTTTGGGGCAAAAGGCATATATGTAGGCATTTTCCAAATATGTTGCTGGGAGCATCAGGTAGGCAGGTTATAGCAAGGCAGGGAAATCTCTTCTCTAGGCCTCAGGTGCTATTTGATAACATTTTTAGTTTGGGGTGGGTGGAAGTGACAGGTCTGCTAAGGATACAGTCACAAGATTTTTCCTGATAGTCAAAGGTGCAAGATCAGACCCAGAGACAGGTGAAAGTTGGCTAGCAAAGGAATGAAAGGTAGCTCAAGGTAATGTGGCTTTCCATCTGGCATGTTCCAGCTCGCCACAACCAGGCAGTTCTTAACAGACAGCCAGTCTATAAAATCTTTCAATGTAAGCATGGCATTTTCAGGGAACTTCTGCTCACAAGTGGCATTTACTGTTTTTATAGACTCCAGCCATCCTAGACCTACATTAAAGACCCCATCTTCACTAGCTGATGTCTTCAGGCATCCTACTGTTAACTAAGATCATCCCCAGGGGAAAGTGGAGGACAGGAGCAACCTGCAGGTCTCAGGGCCCTTGTCCTGCACATGGAATCTCAGAATGGATCATGGAAATCCTGGACCATAATCTCTGGGAATAGACTGTGGTTGTCCAGCTAGCAGGGGTGACTGGGGAATTTTGCTGTTAGCTTCTGAAAGTTTTAACCACTTGCCATTTTGTGGGGACAGCAGGGAGTTTCACAGAGCAGCATTTAGACACTCAAATGCTCTGATGCCCTTAAGTTTTCTTCAGAAAGCACATTCCCACCGAAAGCCCCTACCTCCTGGGCATGGCCATGCACTGAGGTAACCACACCATCTTTTACTAAAGCTGTCTTTCTCACTTGGCCAATTGACTGTGTAAGGGGCAGGCATGGAGGTCAGCTATGTGATGCTTGTGGCAGCCTGGGTGAGAGACAGGCCATCTCACCCTTGGGCACACTAACTCAGTGCACCAGGTCAACCTGAGATGTCTTGAATACCTCAAGATGTGGGTGCCTCTGTTCCTCTCCAGTTGTGGGAACCTGGAAAGTTGTGTTGTTTTTCTAAATACTAACTAATTAATTTTATGTAGCTGAAGTTTTCTCCAGTCCTGCCCAGCCCCACAGACCCTGTAGCCGCTTGTAAAATAATCACTCAGAAGCTTTTTATTAATTAAAATTGCTTGACTATTAGCTTAGGCTTATTATTGACTAGCTCTTACACTTAAATTAACCCATAATTCTTATTTATGTTTAGCCACATGGCTTGGTACCTTTTCTCAGTTCTGCCCTCACATCTTGCTTCCTCTGTGTCTGGCTGGCGACTCCTGACTCAGCCTTCCTGTTCCCAGAATTCTCCTCGTCTGTTTATCCTGCCTATACTTCCTGCCTGGCTACTGGCCAATCAGCATTTTATTTATCAACCAATGGGAACAACACATTCACAGCATGCAGAGCACCATCACCCATCATTTCCCTTTTTCTTTCTATTTAAAAGGAAAGTTTTAACTTTAATATAGTAAAATTATATATAACAAAACAGTTATCAAGCAAGAATTATAGTTATAATAGTCTATTTGTATTTGGCAAAAATAAAAAGATATCCTATCTATCCTATATTTGTGAGTCCAAGGTTCCATATCTACCTTATTTCCTGTCAAAACCAAGGAAAACCATAATTATAACTATCTAGTCTTCAACTACATCAAAGACCTCAGAAGGATACAATATTACCTAAGTAAACAGGAAAAGCATTGTAAGCAACTTCCAAAAATCTAGAATGATAGAGACAGCTGGCTATCAGGACAGTCACCCAAAGTTCTTCTGCATTGTTGGGGCATCCATTCTTTAGCCTACAGACCTAGAGTCTCTCAGTCATTTCTCTCTGTATCCTGTAGAATGTCTGGCAGTTTCTTCTGCAAAGCAGGAACCTGAAGGACCATTTCATCTTGCAAAGTTCAGTGATAACCTTTCTATGGTCCTGCATGTTCACTTTATACAACATTTTGTCAAGCAGTCCAGGCAAGAAAAGTTTCTTGTCCAAATGGCTATTTTTGCCAGGAAGAAGATAAATTCCTTATGGAGTGTCATTGATGCCCATCTTTTTCTTTGAAGTAAATCGGTGCTGCCAGGAGCAGACGTGTCTCACTGTCCAGAAAGTCTAAATTTTTAAAACATTTTAAATGCCATATTCTGTATGTCTTTGAAGTGTTTGAAGATTAACTATCTAGCTGAAATATATTTATGTATACCCAGAAAACTTAACATGACTATAAGTTTGACTATCATAGAAGACTAATTATTAATCTGTTTCTCAACTATACATTACAATTTCAAATGAGTTGCACAAACAAAATACTTTAAACAAGAGTAGAAATATACATACAGCATAACAAAATTAACTTTAAATTTGTTATCAATAAACTAAAATTGTAGCAATGTAAAATATTTCAAACAAGTAGTTGCTCTTTAAAAGTAGATTCAATAATCTACCCTTTTATCCTATCATATCTATATCCTATATTTTTATATCATATCCTCCTTTCTTCTTTTAGAAAGAGATTGACTATGACCAATAACAATTTGCAACCAACAATGTAAACAAAGACAAACATCCATAATCCCTTTTTTTGGGAATGTGGGCATA